TACTGGACATGCGTCTGAATGGTAATACCCGCGGTGATTATGTGAGGGTGCGGGTTAAGCATGATATCGACCGGCCGCTCACAAAGTATGTTAGCCTTGTTCGCGGCAAGGAACGCCGAGTCTATCTGGTCAGGTACGAAAAGTTAGCAAGGTTTTGTAAAGTATGTGGGCTGATAGGGCATGAGTTCAAGGAGTGTGGCTTGGGTATTCATGATGAAACAAAGATGAAGTATGGGGACTGGCTGTATGCCGAGGGGCCAAATAATACTCGTGCTGATGCTCCTCCTCAGAAAAATAGCGAGGCGAGAACTAGAGGAAAGCAAGACATACAACAAACCAAAGATGGAGGCACAGAGAAGGATCGTGATGGAGATGATACAGAGCTAGCTGATACGGCTTCAAGTCCAGTTAAAAGCCCTGGGGGACGGATGGAGGTGGATAAGGACCCGAGAAAGCGGTTAAATATGGATGCTACCGAGGTAATTAAAAGTGTTGGTGCAAACCATGCTCTCGGTCTGTTGGCCATCATAGATGGCAGTGGCGCTGATCAGAAGGAGGGGGTTTCTCCCTCTAGTAGTAACAGCAGCAAAAGGGCAAGGATTGTGAAGAGTGGTGATACAAATGAGATATCGGCGGCCTCCCGCGAGGAGGACGGCCGGACACAATGAATATCTTGTCTTGGAACTGCCGGGGGTGGGGAACCGTCGGACAGTTCGTGAGGTTGTGGCCCTCTCAAAAGCCAATAACCCCAAGCTAGTCTTCTTGTGTGAGACTAGACAATCGTCAGATAAAATTGAGAAAATCAAATGGAGATTAGGCCTGAAAGGTTTCTATGGCGTTAGTAGTGATGGAAAAAGTGTCGTTTTGGCTCTGTTTTGGGACAAGTCTCTAATAGTGAATGTACTGGATGCTTGTAATTGGTACATTGATGTTTAGATAGAATATGTGGGAGCAGGAAATTCATGGAGAGGAACATTTGTTTATGGTGAACCGCGGGTAGAGAATAGACATATTATGTGGGATCACATGACTCGACTTCGCGCTATCTCGCAGGCTTCGTGGTTTGTGTGTGGAGATTATAACGAGGCGATGTGACAACACGAGCATCTATCCAGAACCACACACTCAGAATCACAAATGGAAGCCTTGAGGGACTACCTCTTGCTATGTGAGTTGGAAGACTTGGGGTTTGCCGGAATCCCTTATACATACAATAATGGTCAGGCGGGAGATTGGAACATACAAATACGTCTTGATCGAGCATGTGCGGACGAAGGATGGCGTGAATTGTTCCCGGCGACCAGAGTACTCCACTTGGCATCGCTGTTTTCTGATCATTGCCCACTCTTGGTGCAGCTCGAGGATGTTCAGCTTCACAAAAAACGGGTATCCTTACCCCGATATGAAATCATGTGGGAGCGTCATCCAGCGCTTCCAGAAGTTGTGGCAAGTTCTTGGGCTAAGAATAAATCTAATGGTAAATTAGAGAACTTTGGTAATGTTCTGAAGGAAATAGAAACACTGAGGGAGCAGCTAGCAGACTTACAGTTCGCCGGGGCCGATCGTGCACACATACGCACCAAGATGAATCAGCTAGATGAGCTTCTGTACAGAGAGGAGATGATGTGGCTGCAACGTTCATGTATTACGTGGCTAAAAGAAGGGGAACGCAACACGACATATTTACATCGTCGAGCAGTTTGGAGAGCTCGTAGAAATTATATCCAACGGCTCAGAAAGATAGATGGGACTTGGTAACATACACCAAGTGATATGGAAAGGATGGCCACTTCATACTTCAAGGAGGTGTACACCAAGGATCCCACTCTAGCTCCAGATGTGGTTCTGGAGTGTATACCTACCAAGGTTACTATGGAGATGAACGAACAATTGTGTCAACCTTATTCGGAGAAGGAATTTTCTGACGCATTGTTCCAGATTGGCCCTTTGAAGGCACCAGGTTCTGATGGGCTTCCAGTCCGGTTTTACCAACGGAACTGGGGGGTTTTAAAAATAGAGATAATTGCTACAGTCCAGGAATTTTTTATGACAGGTGTTATGCCTGATGGAGTTAATGGGACAACCATTGTGTTGATTCCTAAGGTTCCACACCCAAAGGAGTTGAAGGATTTTCGACCCATCAGTCTGTGTAACATGATATACAAAATTGTATCCAAATGCATAGTAAACAGGTTACGCCCATTACTTCATGAACTTATTTCTGAAAACCAAAGCGCATTCATCCAGGAAGGCTCATCTCGGATAACTCTATTATTGTGTTTGAATTTATCCACCATATACAGTCTCTAAAGGAGCAATCGCCAGCATTTTGTGTCTACAAGCTAGATTTATCCAAGGCTTATGATCGTGTTGACTGGGTGTTTCTGGAGAGGGCTCTTCTGAAGTGGGGTTTCTCTCAGCATTGGATTTCGCGGGTAATGGCATGCGTTTCTAGTGTGAAGTACTCGGTTAAGTTTAATGGGAAGTTACTTGAGCCCTTCATCCCATTAAGGGGCTTACGTCAAGGTGACTCATTGTCCCCCTTCCTCTTTCTGTTTGTAGCTAATGGTCTGTCGGCTTTGTTTAAAAAATCCATGGAGGAGCAGGGTTTGAAGGGGATAAGAATTTGTAGAGGTGCTCCGGAAATCTCTCATCTCTTGTTTGCGGATGATTCACTCTTGTTTTTTCAAGCTTCAGAACAGCAGGCGGTCATTGTGAAGGGTTTTTTGAACACTTACGAAGTGGCTACAGGCCAGTTAATTAATCCATCCAAGTGTTCCATCCCTTTTTCAGACCAGTGCCTGCCTATAGTTGCTTCAGGTATAAAGAGTGTGTTGGAGATAATTCAAGAAGTGTTTGAACCAAAATACCTAGGCCTGCCAGTGCCGGAAGGTAGGATGCATACAGGTAATTTTGAAACTGTCTAGGAAAGGTTGCAAAAACGATTGATTGATTGGAGTGAACAATATTCTTCCTGAGGGAATAAGGAGATCTTAATTAAGTCGGTGGCTCAGGCTATACCTACATATGTTATGAGTGTCTTTAAACTCCCTGTTTCGGTATGTAATGAATTAACTCGCATGATGCGCCAATACTGGTGGGGAGTTGAGAAAGGAAAGAATAAAATGGCCTGGATGAGTTGGGACAAAATGAGGCTTCCAAAGTCTATGGGAGGTATGGGATTCCGCGATATGAGGGCGTTCAACCAGGCACTCCTCGTGAAGCAAGCATGGCGGCTGCTGGACACACCACAAAGTTTACGCACAAGGTTATTGAAAGCAAAATATTACCCCTCCGGTAATTTATTGGACATAGTGTTTTCACGCAATGGTTCAGCAGTCTGGAAAGGAATTGCACATGGTCTCGAACTGCTGAAGAAGGGGATCATTTGGAGGGTGGGCAATGGTGCACTAATACGCACATGGAAGGATCCCTGGATTCCCAAGGGTGTCCTCTTTCCGGCTAATCACCCCAAAACGCAATTGCCGTCTGAACCGGGTTTCAGATTTTTTGGACATGGAGGGCTGACCGGCTGCGAGAGTTTTTTTGGCCTATGGACATTGAACATATCATGAAAATTCGTACATCCCCGAGGCAACGAATTGACTACATATCGTGGTTTCCTGAGAAGACCTGTCAGTTTACGGTCAAGAGTGCTTACAAGTTGGCCACATGTGAGCATAACATTGCCTTCGCCGGGGTGCGTCTAGTTCAGAGCCAAGTGGTGTAAGGTTATGGAATGTTATATGGAAGTCTTCGGTTCCACATAAGATGAAAATATCGGCATGGAAAGTGGCTACTGGAGTTCTTCCTACGGCGAAGTGCAAAGTGTATAGACATTTGTCGAAGCGAGCGACTTGCCCGCTGTGTGGCGTCGAGGAAGAAGGAACTTTTCATGCGCTGGTGTCATGTGAGCAAGCGAGGCAAATCTGGATTCGTATGAGAACTCGCTGGCCCCTTCCACCCGACGAGTTTTTGCTGGAAAACGGGAATGAATGACTGCTACATTTGTTGAGCAGGTGTTCGGAGGATGTGCGTGATATGGTAATTATGTTAATCTGGCGAGTATGGTAGCTTTGTTCGGATATATCACATGGGAAAGAAATACCACCTGTTGATGCTATGGTGGACTACTTAGGTAGCTACTACAAATCCATCAAGCTTGCTGGCCCGTATTCTACGAAGGAGATATTGAAGGGAAAAATGCTAGTACCTGCTGTTGTAAAGGAGCCAGTGGTGCATGCACGCTCCTCTAATACCCCTTGGCCTACGCCTGGGCCTGATAAGGTTGCCCTGTCCTGCGCCTGGGCCTGATAAGGTTGCCCTATCCGTGGACGGTTCCTTCAAGGCATCGGATGGAACAGCGGTGGCTGGCATGGTTCTCAGAGACAGTGCGGGTCAAATTATCTTTGCAGCTTATAGAGTGATTTTTCATTGCAATGATGCATTGAAGGCGGAGTTGCATGCACTTATGCAAGGGATGACTTTGGCCATCCAACATAGACAACTCCCGGTGGTGATCCAGTCAGACTCTTCGGAGGCATTTTCAGTTCTATCAAGCAATACTCGCTCGGCGTATGGACATTTAGTGGTAGAAATTAGAGATTTAATGTGTAATAGAGAGATTTACCTCAGAAGATACACGGTAGTCAAAATAGAGTTACAGATCAGTTGGCCAATTATAGTCGCATCAAGTTCATCACGGCTGTGTGGGTGAACTCAGCTCCACCTTGTATCGAGGATTTGTAGCCTTTTGATTGTAGCATTACTATCATGCAATAAAAGCTCCCTTTACCCCACAAAAAGAAAAGAAAATAGTATAATGTAAAATTGTTCATATTAGACACCAATAGTCACTGGGTGGGATGGCTATCCATGTTTGCGCGGTAGCAGCACGTTGCTGGTTGGATCCTTGGCCCAGCAATTTACAGTTTTTTAATCCAAATTTATTACATGACAGGTGGGACCCATCGGTCTGTATTTGAAAGCTTTCCATGCCACTAAATAAAAATATGAGAATCCATCACGAGCATTGGACATATAAGTTGTAGCATCGCCGGTGCATGTACCTCCACCTTGTTTGTATTCATGAGCTTTTCTGTTGTAGCATCATATCTGGAACAAAAAATGACTCTATCTGAAATGGCGGTTTTGAGTTTACACAGTACACAAGAGACGACAGTGTATTAATAAAGTACATGTACTCCCTTTTTTATTTACTCCACATATTGGTTTTGGTCAAAGTCAAGCTTTACAAGCTTTGAAAAAATTTATAAACAAAAATATTAACATATACAATAACAAATCAATACCATTAGATTCGTTGTTGAGTGTACTTTCACATCATATAGATTTGTTATGCTAAATATTTATACCCATTTCTATAAATTTGATCAAACTTTACAAAGTGTAACTTCAGTCAACTTTAATATGCAGAGTAAATAAAAATGAAGGGAGTACCAAATTCTCATTTCATGTGGCTACCATGTGACGAATATATCTAGATGGTGATGCAAGAGTTAAATGTGTGACAACGCAGACCATTTCGAATCGGAGGGATTGAATCTGAGTATGAAACAACCACACTTGTACTCCAACAAAGCACCAGATCACTGCTTCTCGTACTCAAATTAACACCAACATAATCTCATTTATATAACAGAAAATCGTATGTCTTATAATGGTTCTGCTGTAATTGTCTATATTTTGTAGTGAGTTTGTTGATGTTTTTGGCATCAACTTCAATAAAGATGGTTGTGTGAATCACAATGATGCAGAGGCCGGGGTTTTCGGAAGAACAGAAAATCATCCTCCCGACCTGACCTTGTGGCACTGGAAGTATAACAGTGTGAAGACGTGAGACTACTATTCAAGCTTTCAATCATACAGGAATCCTTTCAATGCAGCAGAAAAAATACTAGTACTAGTAGTTGTGATCCTATCACTAACCTCTTCTCAGTCTGAGACTGATCTATCCAGACACCTGTACTGACTTTTGAAATGTAAATCATGGCTAAACTTTCTTTGACAAGGGTGGTTTTTGGAGAAGGGTATTCACGTGGAACCGGCTTATGTTCTGCCTCTACTTACAGCGGGTGATCATCACAGGAAGAGACGGCGGGCGAAGCCGCTCCCGAGTGGCTAGCAGCAGCAGCAGCAGCAGCCTCGCTGCATCGGCTGATGCCTTCAAACGCCTGCAAGCAGACTCCTGAGAACCCCGTCAGGGCATGGAACACGTTTGGAAGGCTCGTCTGAAGATGGTTCAGCGTCATGGCTCGACTGGTCCTCAAGGAGTTGATGTACCTGGCCTTCTCCTCCTCGACCTTCTTTCTGAACACGTCCAGCTTCGGGTCGTCCTTCGATACTGAGTAGCTCCTGGCGTGCGAACCCTGGCTTGAGCTCTGCATTGCGTTTTCGCTGTGTTTCTCCAGCTGGGCGTGGAACTTGCTCTCGATGTTGTCTGATTTCTTCTTCAGCTGACGCTCCTCAGCCTGCTGTAACACGATAGAGTGTATGACTGACAGAAAAGCTTTTATTGCTTCTGCTGCTACCTGTTTATACATACATAAAAAAGAAGGGAACATTAATTAAAGAAAGACCAAATGGTTAACATTAATTAAGAATGGAAGGTTCGTCGTCCAAATATGTATGATGAATGTTCAACCAAAACCACCCGCAAGCTTGATTTTGCAGTAACAAACAAAACTCTGAAAGAATATACCATGTTGGTTTTACTCTACCTTCTCAGGTAACTTCTTAAGAGCGTGCTCAAGTTCCCCACAGAGGCTACGGATTCCAGATGAACTTCTCATGAAGCCTTCATTATCAGGCAGGCAATCAGTGAGTCCAATCCATTCGTTAAGGATGGTTACGTACTCACGCTGCAAGGTGATCAGATTGCAGAAGGAATTGTGCCATGCAGAGACTTCGCCTTCCAACTGAGATGTTGCATAGCAATGGGAGTCAGTTGTCGGCTCACTGCCAGGTTGGTTGCCAAGGAGACTGGCTTGCTGGGCAATATGGTTCTGAACCTCATGGCACTCGTACATGTTTCTCCACATATGCACAAGTCTGAGTCACAAGCAAGGAAAATAAGTGTCAGAAGAGAACCGACATGAAAATAAACATTGCTATATACTCCCTCCGTTCCTCCCTCCGTATGTGGTTCATAGTGGAATCTCTCCAAAGACTTATATTTAGGAACGGAGGGAGTATCAGGAATCGAAAACAGAGACCGCGCCCACATAAACAGAAGCAAGAAAAAAGTGTGTCAGAAGAGAAATCCGACATGGAAATAGCAGTCACAAGGGAGAACTGCAGAATTAACAGGACAGTATTGTAGCTATGGCAACTGAGTTGCGATTGCATCTGTCATTGGTGGGAAAAATACAAGCAGCACGCACCACAACAACAGTATGGCACAAGATGCCAGAGGTAAATACTAATTAGTATGGCTCAACATAAGTGCCGGCCATATCCTGAATGAAAATAGAGCTCCACTATGGCTCAACATAAGTGCCGTAAGAGCTATACTTGTGTCCCGCTTATGATGAAATTATTATAAGCTAGTATATCTTAACAAGTAACAAGGAAATGTGATAAACAGAGCTTCCTGAAAAGCATTGCTATATATCAGGAATCAAATACAGAGATCACACCCACATAAATAGCGTGATACTAGTAAAATATAAGCTTTTGAACTATATTGGATATGCTAGTTCACGGATTTTCAGAGCTCACCCTGCAGCTAATTCAATAACCTGAGGATATAACTCCTCATCCCTGATCTTTGATATGGTCAAACATGTCAAGCTTACAGCTTCCTCTAAGGACATTATCCGAGTTTGCAGTTCTTCGATATTTTCCCGAACTTTCTCTGCCTGCAACCTATCATGCTCCCCTGATTCTAGCTTCTTTAGCAATGAACTGTACTTTCTGTATTCAAGCCTTGCAAATTCTTCATCCTGCAATATAGGATAGTCAACAATGTGTCGACTTCTGGCAGCATAAGGTAACAAGTCAACATTTATTCGTGATGTAACAAAAAATTCCTAAACAATAAACGATTCATCAAAATCTAAGATACAAGCTATAAGCTGTTATCTCAATCCTTGAGCGTATTGTGCAATGCATTTCGGTGAACATAGACCAAATCAAAATAATACTTAAGACTCCCATAGTGCACCTTAACTAACTGATAGAGTTTTTGCTCCTCGTCATAAAGCTTATCTAGTGTTTTGCCATGATAACCGTATCCACAAGCATCAGTTGAGGATTCTCTGTTAGCATGTACAGACTTGAATGACCAGCTCCAGGAAAGTGTAGAGAAAACCTTGGCAGACTTCGAATTTTTTCCTGCACATAGAACAACAAACGGTATTCCTCAGGAAGTGATGGTTTGTTAAGAGGTAATAGGGAGACGTATGGAACATGGAATGTCGTTGATCCCGAAATATTAGTACTCCTGGTGCCATTACCTATTGCTTTGCAATGTGTTGGTGTATACTTGATACGTACATGACACTTGGAGAACCAACAATACATAGACAAGAAGGTTGGCATACTTCATAGTACATATGCATCATAAGAGGCTAGAGTATAAGGTTTTTTTTTCCGAATAGGCTAGAGTTTAACTTACCAAATGACATCTAAACAAAATATCAAGGATGATATATGGATGAGAAAAGCTAAATTTATTACCTTTCTTTACTTGCACCTCTGAGGGATCTAGCCGGCCGGTAGCAGAATCCAAAAGTATAACAACATCAGTCCCACTTGCGGCTGCTTTCAAGAAGTACTCATCAATCTCCTTGGCTATTTCTACCAGTGACTTGTCAGTCGCCCAGGCCATCACCGAAGAGTTCGAGTCCTTTGTTACCCAGCTGCTCATCATCGATGAGTTTTCATCACCCATAACCCTACTCTTTGCTGGATGCAATTCCACACGCCTAAGTATGCCATCAGCATTGCCAGAGACACTTTGATCCTGTCCATCAAATTCTATGTTCGTTTCCACCCAATCGTCATCCATGCTGACCTGTGAGGCCATTTCTTTATCGTCCCGATCAGCCAACGAAGATGGAAGAAAATCCAAGGGACGCATAGTGATTGGGTCCGTGTACTCCCACTCCATACCGGGCGGCGGCGGCGGGGGCAGAGGCGTCGAGCAGCTGTCAGTGTCGTCGTCTTCATCCGTGGAATCATCCCCGTCGAGATCACCATCTCTCTTCTCCCTCTTTCTTATCCTTATCGGACTAAACGGTATGAGTGGTGGGGGGAGTGGTGATGGCGGCATTGAGGATGTCACCGAGTATGGTGGCATGGAAGAAGTCACAGAGTATGCCGGAGGCGGTGGTGGTGGCGGCGGCGGCGGAGGGGGAGGAGGTGGTGAGGCAACGACTGGAAGGGACTGGTGTGACGATGCAGTCTCCACCTCGGCGAATTGGCGGAGAGTGGCTCCTGTGTTGCGGAGTGCATGCAGGTAGGTGATGTGTGCGGCTGCAAGGTCGACACGGCGGCGCACGAGCTGCTTCATGAGGTTCCTCCTGTCCCTGCATCTCCTCACCGCCTCCTCGTCCTCCACTTTGGAGTGCCTGCAACCCATCTGCCGCCAACAACCTTGAAGAATGCAGATTGCAGCACCGGCTGAAAGGAAATCCCAAATCGGGGGCCTCAGTCAAGATTCCAGATCATCCGCAACACTCGGACTGTAGCAACTCCACCGAAACAAGAAAAGAAACTCTCACATCCTCGCACATGAGATTGCCCGCTCCTATATCAGTATCTGGCAGACAAAAGGGATGATCCAAACATCAAGATTCAGCTAACACAAACTGAGGCAAAATAATAATACTCGTAAAGAATAGCCCCGATTAACTCTAGCCTGCTCGGCTGACTTACTGGAAAGGAAGAAACGCCCGCCGATCCGCAATCTTGGAGTCGGCGGCCAGCTTGAAAGCTAAGCAGCCCCGGTTGGAGAAACAAGGGATCTAGACAACCTCAAGAGCCCTCCCTCCCTCCCTCTGGTCAAGCACACGGACTGGTAGATGGTGAAGCAGAGGCGAAGAGAGAGGGCGAGACAATTGGGAACCGAGGGGGAGAGGGGAAAAGGAGAGGGGAAAGGGGAAAGCGAAGGTGTGGGATTTGGTTAGCTTTCTTTCCGGGCTGCGGTAAAGTAGCGGTGCGAGGAGGAAGAAATTGTGCAGGAAGGATGGTGGTGGTCAGAGGGGCTGAGCTGCTCCGCCGCTTTCCCCTGTCTGTCACGGAAACTCCTCCACTTGTCCTCTCATTTTCTTTTTCCTTGGCCTTCTCTTGCTTGCAGGTGGTATCGTATCGTTAGGTCCACGCCGTCCATGCAAGTGACTTCCAACATTTGCTATACGAGCTAACTACCTTTTTTTCGAATTATACGAGCTAACTACTCCCTCCATATCATATCACAATATAAAATCATTTTTCAAGCTAGTCTTATTGTAAGAGGAATAGAGGGAAGATTGGTTGAATGTATGTTTATTGCATGAGCTTCATGGTTTAATACAAAGTTGGGTCATCTATTTTGAAACGGAGGGAGTATATAAGAATACATGATTAATTTGGAGTACATGACAAGTAGAAATAAAGCATGCGCTATCTGATGCTTTCTGATATACTTATATGATATTAATAGTTTGGTACATATGGTATGAAATTAAAGTATGGGACGGTTTCGAGATATATCAAAATTACTTAGGTATGATTCCGCTGCCGTGAATTTAAAAAATGACAATGATTTTTTACAAGTTGATGACTCAAACTTTTTTATAACAAAAATATAAAACTATATATATTTGCAAGAAACGTATGCAAGTATATATATGCATGCATGGATTCAAGCCTTTATGGCTGGTCATGCATGCAATTTATGCTTTGCTTTGTTTATGGACGAGCTTAACTCTTTTTTGTGAGAAAAATGAATACATTACTAGAAAAATGAATACGTAACAAAAAAATGAACGTGATTAGCAGGGAATATGGCTCATGTATAAGAAAAAGGACTACATTATAAGTTTTTTTTGGGCCTTTGGTTAGCACATTAACCTTTCTATGGGTCTGGGTGAGCAGGTCGTAGCTCCTTTTAATGGGCAATGTATACTAACAATGACAACAACTTTCTTACCACCTCGCTTGCCGGCCTGGTGAAAAATAGATATAAAAGTATCTACAGTCGGACTTAGCAAATTCGGCCCTCAAACGTCCATGGACGGATCCGGGCACGTCCGCGGACACTGACCGGGCACCCCTTAAATATTGGGCCGGACATCCATATACGCAAATTTCGATTCTCAAATCCAAGCAATCCATACACGTCAATTATACGATACAAACTGTTCGAACGCCAAAGTGTGAAAGAAAAAAAAGCAAATCATAGTTCAACAAACCGGACATAGCAAAATAAAATCAATGTCCGAGCATGACGGATGACCTAGGATCATTGGTTGGGCGCCTGCTCTTGCTGCATCCGGGCTGCCTCCTCCGCCTGCATCCGGGCTGCCTCCTCCGCCTGCATCCATGCCGCAACCGCCCTCGCCGCCTCATACTTCCTACGTTCGTTGATCTCCATGTTCTTGTTCACAAGTTGCTTCTTCACATGCTCATCCAAGAGGGTCTTGTCCGCCAACATGATCCTCGCATCTTCCGTGCCCCGTGCGAGTTGCAACCTCTTCATCTCAAGCTCTATGTCACCAAATGTCTTGGACTTCTCGAGATCCCATTTGATTGCTGCTTGTTGCTTCTCGAGCTCGATCTTCTCCCTCTCAATTTCCATCTTCTTCGCTGCCCTCTTTCGGCCCCACTCCATTCTTTCCTTTTGCGCATCCAACATGAGCTTGTACCTCTCCTCCTTGTTCTCCGTCACCGAAAAATGCCCGTCCATGTGGATGAAATTTTGGTAGCCGCAGCATCACGGGCGGCACGTGCCTTCACCCATTTGTTTCCCATGACTCGGCAATTGTCCTTTGGCACGGTGGCTTTTCCATTCATCATGACAACATCGTCCTCTTCATCGTCCAACCCAATTGATTGGTTTGAGATTGAGCCATCATTCGTCTTCTTGCCGGACTTGAGGTCGGCCACAAGTTGGTTCCACTTCGGCTTGCCGTTCAATATGACCCAACAATGGCTAAAAGAAAATGGCTTCTTCTCCATCTCATGATACAAAGTGGCCGCCGCCGCCGTCTAGCAAACAACACATGTATGAGCACGAGAATGCAAACAGAAGAAGCATATGCAATGGACGACAAGATGAAGCAATCGAGCTTACGTGAGTTGCGACTCCCATCCTACTTTGAGGGCATTTGGTCACTTGTGAGTAGTAGGCGACGTACTTGTTCACTTCCCCTTGAATGATCCCCAACGACGTCAAAGGGATGCCACATTGCGGGTGGTCACAAGATGCGACTCCACATACCCCTTTTGCTCGGTGCCGCATATTGGATCCATCGTTGTGGCCAACAAGATGTCCTCAAATCTTGAGAATGCCGGACCTCTTGCCTTCGGCGTGTTGGTCTTCTTCTTCCTTTTGCTTGGATTGGGATTGGATGTTGTCCCAACCTCAAATGTGATGGTGGCCTCCAATTCACACTCCATTTCGCTCGGATCTTCATTGTCATTGATCGTGTTCGACAGGAACGCCTCCTACATGATTATGGTTTGCAAGCATTCATCATGTGCGCAATGAACTAGTGGTCTATGCTAAAAACTGATCGGACATGAGCAAATAAAACGCACTGACATTCCGTCGAACATGTCGAGGGCAGCCCGGGCAGTGCCAGTGCCCGTGCTCATCCACGTCCGAACGAGCTGCGGTGAGCCACACATGTCGACCACTGGCATCTGCGTGGGCGGAAAGCTATCCGGAATGGCCCAGTTGGCAGTCGAATCATCCTCTATCCCAAGGGGGTCGGACGATGTAATATGCGTCGACGCTCGAAGGGAAGGGGTGCGGGGATCCGGGCGCGGCGGAGGAGACAGCTGCTCCGCCACGTCCTAACCTCCTTGTGACGCCCTCGTCGCCTCCCTCTCTCGCTATCGGCGTCACCGCAACTTGCGGGCGACATTCTCCGCCTTGCAAGTCGCAACCGACGAATTGACACCACCGACGGACGAGGCGGACCGTGTCTCCATCGTGGTGGTGTGGGTCGGGCTGAACGACATCTCCAGAAGTGGATCGAGACCGGAGGTGAGGATTGGGAGAAAGGGTGGAGGACAGCGAGGGTTCGGGCGCGGGAAAGGTTGGAGGCGGCGGGAGGAGGACGAAGGGTTTGGTGGATTTGGTGTAATTTGGGGTGGGGTCGAGCTATTGGGTTCGACGTGGCGGGTGTGTCCAGGCGCCCCCATACCCAACCCCATATTTGGGCTGGATATGGGGGGTGCCGGTCAGCCCGGGCGTTTGAGGCCCGTTTAAGGAGCCCGTCTAGGTCGAAAAAACATGACTGGACAGTGACCGGGCGGCTCGCCCGGGCGTATGATGTAGGTTTGAGGCGTCAAACTGTAGATGCTCTAAGGTCTATATAACAATGTCTCTAGTGTCTCAAAAATAAATAGTCCCTCCATTCCATAATGTAGAGCGTCCACGCCTTTTAAGATTTAACTTTGACAATAAATTTAACCAACACGAGCGACTGCGGCGGGAGCATGACATACACCTTTGAATTCGTATTCGAAAAAAGTTTTTAAAGGTATAATTTTTGTAGCGATCCGACCTCAAACGGTCAAATCTCTGTGTATAAGTGTCATCCCTGGATCGGTAATGCTGACACACACACAATACTTTGAAGGATTTATAACAGAGTTCAATCACACACTTATTATATCGAAGATCTCAAAAGAGAGTACTTATTACAATAATATGGCTGAAGGTCATCTAATGAAGATAACTGCAGAAGGCTTTGAAGGCAAAATGAGTCCATCAACTCCAACGGCATAGCTGAGTGCAAGACAACGACCTAGCGCACCTTACTCTTCATCTGAAAAGTCTGCAATATAATACGTTGCAACCCGAAATGGGTCAGCACATGGAATATGCTGGCAAAATAACACTGTAGAGCAATGAACAAGTAGCGGCTATAACTATATGCATATTTGGCTGGTGGAGGCTCTATGGTTATTTAGTTTTTTCCTACAACAAAGGAATATATTTTATTTAACTACAAAGTTTGTTGAAAATATTGAGAATGGTAACCCCATCTCAATCCCAGTTAAAGTAATCATTAACCCAACAATTTAATTAAATAAAGTGATGAGATTAACATAATAATTCAAGCACCAGATACTCAATATGTCCATAACTGGGGACACGGCTAGCCATGATTAGTTTGTACAATCTGCAGAGGTTTGCGCACTTTTCCCCATAAGACTCGATCTCCTTCATTGATTTCTTGCACTACTTGATGTTTGAGAAATAGATGACCGAGACACAGTCTTTCAGAAGCATTAGCCCCTTCGACGGGTAAACTGTACCACCTACATCCCCTACATCTGCTAGTTTACCACTGAAAGAGGTCACGCAACATACTCAACTATGCTAGAGCCCATAATGGCTTGTGGCTGCACACGGAAGTTTCCAGC